AAAATGTGTTTTTACTCCGGAATACTTTATAACGTCAAATACATCCCATATTAACTCTTCCAAGTTTTTTTGACCTTTCAAATCCAATGGAAACCTTATTTTGACCTAAAAATATTTAGAAACTTACCTAATCACTATTCTCAAGCTTAAGCACCTTCAAAACTAAGTTTGACAAGAAAGTCAATTTATCTGAAACTCAAACTTCATGATCAATCTATTAACAATAATTCGAGGTTTTTATAATCCTTTTATTCATCCTAAGAGAAATATTAATATGTTATTATTCTTATTTATTTCTAGTATGGGGTCTTATAATATCATCCCTTATACTGCTTTCACAAACAACAATTCACTACAAATGTTAGGCAACCAGCTCACCCCCACTAGAATAGACTAATCTCTAACACTCTATGACAACTCTTGAAGGCAATTCAAGTTCATCACACCCAAAACATACAAGAGATGAAACTACAATTTTCTTAACAACTACAATCTTAATCAATCACAATTTTCATAAGAACTCAAGTATCTCAATTTCATAATTCTCAATATACTGCAATAATAAAGGAATTAAAATATGCAAGAGATCACATTATGAAGACCTTCACAATTTCGATATTAAAATTCTAGTGTTTTGCCAAAAATCATAATTTCTTAGAACAATAAAAAGTATTAGATGAAAACATAATTTAATAAAGTATAGGACTTTAGAAATTAAGAATCCGTATTTTTCACATTCAAACATGTATTTAGTAAATTAGAATTTTGAAAATTCAAGAGCAAGTATACTTTGAATCCAAACATGTATTTTGTTCAAAACTCTGTTGTAAAGATAAAGAAACCAAGAACTCATATGTATTAATCATATAACTATCAAGAAGATTGAAAACATACATATATAATATCCTAAGTCTTAATGAATGAACTCAAAAAGAATTTTCTACTTTGATTCCGTAGTTTGTGTGTAAACTTAACGTGTTTAAACCGTTCTAACATGAGAATTTTCCTTCAATCTTGTGTTTCTCTTCCTCTCTCTTACTCTCTAAGGTTCTCTAGGGTTAGAAACTAATGAAATAGGGCTAAGGGATGTGTCCTTAGGTATTTATAGGATGAGAAAATAGTCTAATTGCCGCAAACCTGATATTCAAAATTGTGACAGTATGTTCGAATTAGAAGCTTGACGTTCAAACTATCTATATAGCTGTGCACGGTAATTTTTGCACAATAGATAAAAAGACAAATCTCTTCCTTGGTGAACTCGTGTTCGTCGAGAAAGTTGATGATCCTGTGGCAAAGGAAGAACCAAGATAACCCAATAGGGGCCTAAGGAGTGATGATGAATTGCTTTAGGGTCAGCTTGATCGATTTTGACAGGTCATAGGGGGTTCCAGGCACACAGAAAATGGGTTTGAAGGGCACCAGAGTGTTTTTCGGCATATCCTCTCTGACGATCAAGTCAGTTCTTTGAGAGAGAGAAAGAAGAAAATACTATATTGTGTTCTTGAGGAGTGATTTTGCATACCTTTATCTCTAGGTTTTTTTCATTATTTATACCTTCAAAGACTCATCATTACTGATAGTCTAGACAGAAGGTAGTGTTCAGACATGGAACAGTGTGCCTCCTATTTTACATGGGGGAGACCCCGTTATTAACTGCTCGGATCCTGGGGTATTTAATGCTCTTCCTTTTGGCCTTATAAGCCATTGTGGATGTCCCATTAGTTGATGATTCTTTAATTATTTTCTTGACACTGTCGTATGTCAACAGGGGCATTTTTGTCTATTTACCCCTCATCCTGCACTTTATGCCACTCCTCTAACTCCCGTTGGTTGAGTGTCTTGTTTCATTCTGCCATTCTGACCTCGTTGTGGGGAGCACCCTCATGATCCTTAATCTAGTTGAGACCGATCAGCTATCAATCAGTAGCCTCTCTAGAAGCTGAAGACACGTGACAAGATCAGAGTTTAAGTACCCTTGGAGCTGAGGACACGTGGCTACGTCAGAGTAGAGGTACCCTCGAAGCCTAGAACATATGTCTGTCATAGAAAAAGGGGTACCTCGATGCCGAGTACATGTGTCTACGGCAGAGAAATATGGTGCCTTTTAGGCTGTGGACACTTGTCTTCATCATAACAAAAAATGTGCCCTCGATGCCGAGGATACGTGTCTTCATTAGAATACAAGATGTGCACTCAATGCCAAGGACATGTGTTGGTGATCCAACCCCTTCTTAGAAGTGTCTCATCAACTGCCCCAACCCTTTGATCTTCGTACAGAAGGAAGTGTGTCGTCGAAAGAAGGAAGGGCTCACCAACCTCATCATTGTCCAACTGCAATCCCGCCTTTGGAGATCGTGCACCACTGATTTGCGTCTGCTCGTGTCTTGTGCGCAATGATGGGGACAAGCTCTATATAAACAAAGCCCTGCCCCCTTTCTCCACTTTTGAATTTTTGGCCTTTGCAAAGACCTTCGCCAGAGAACTCACTAGAGCCTTCTGTTGTCTGCCGAAAGAACCCACTGTCTTTTCTGGTCATTGTGTAAGGAGAAAAACCCCCAAGCCTCCAGTCAATCCCTCCTATCTTTTTTCGGTGAGTACTTTCTTTCTTTCCCTATTTGTTATTCCCTTTTTAACTTTTTCTTCTTTTTATTTTTTTGGTGATTCATCTCATTTCAAACTCCATTTTCTTGGTTCTGAGAACACAAAACGGTGCCCTTGTCTTCCACTTTTCGTCATTTTACCTTTCGTAAAGTCCCTTAGGATTCCCACCCTAAAGAACACACCTTGGAACCCTTTCCTCCCTCCAGTAAGAGATGCCGAGGAGTCGTCGCCTTGCCTCCAAGGTCCAAGTGGCTGGGGCCTATAGACTGAGGAAGTACATAGTCAAGGGTGCCCAGCAAATTACCAACTTTAGGGCCCTTTACGAAATCCCTCGCAACATCGGCGTGGATAAGTTCGATCCAGGACGTCATCATTCCAACATTGGGGCCGTGGATGCCATGCATTTTTGCACCAAGGCAATTATGGAGGGTAGGATCATATTTTTCCTTCCTCCACTGGTCCTCCAGTTCTTGTCCCAATTTAGTCTCTTCCAGGGCAGTGTTACCTTAATGTTTTTAGAATAGTATTAGGGGTGATCAAGATCAATAGACACCATGAGTTAAACCTTGACATCGACGACATCCTTTTCTGTTACTCCCTGCTGAGAGTGATGCCCCAACAAAACTTCTATCTCAAAGCCCGGGACACTTCCATGTACTTTGTCACCCACCTTCTTGATTCTGACAAAGGATACAAGGATGATTTGCTGGTCTTCAGCGGTGCCTGAGAGAGGGATTCAGCCCTAAGTATACCTACTTGAGTTACCCTAAGGAGTGGCAGATGACAAGTACATTGCTTCTCCCTCTCTTCTTGGTTTCCTTAGTGTTTTGAACATAATTTGCATAAGTTCTAATGCTCTTCCTCTTTTGTGCAGACATTTCTAACTGTGAAGCTACTCCCCTGCCTCAACACTTAGTCAAGTTTGATGACCTCATCACTGTCTGGGAGTACGTTGGGGACGAATTTGGCAGAGCAGCCCACATACTTCTGGACTACACGCCGGGGTACAAGAAGTATTCCCAAACTCCTCAACCCTTTGATCCTTTGAGGTGGTTTGAGCTTTTCTAAGAGAACTTGGAGAGGGATCTTGACAGGGCCACCGAGGCCGAACTAGAAGAGGTTACCAAGGGAGATAAAGAAGAAGCTATGGAAGTCAGGGACCCCTCTATCACAGTCCACGCCGAGGCCAGTACATCCGGGAGGGAGACTTGGCCTGATTTCATAATTCTTTAAAGTCTAGACGACGAGGACGTGCTCGAAGTAGCAATGTTGCATAGACCTCACATCAACCTAGACTTCTTGAATTAGAGGGCCGCCTTGGTTGCCAGGAGGGATAGGGGATCCTCTAGCAATGCCCCTCCACCCTCTCTAAGAAGAAATGTCAAAGCTCCTCTCCCTCCCCCGGTGCCATCGAGATTCGCTGGCTGGGGCCAAGTCCGTGATAGGGATCCTCAACTCGAGGAAGAAAGAAAGATCAAACAGAGGCACAAGGTAATGGGGCGAGGTTGGGCCCTTCAACCACAGCAATAACAGCAACAACAATAGCAGCAACAACAGTAGTAACAACAACGAACTTCTACTCCTCCTCCGCCACCAATGACAACAGCCGAGGAGTGGCGCCCCTGGGCCCAGGATAGGGACAACAGGCCAATCCGGGTTAATAACTCCATCATCCATTCTCCTCATGTGGCTTATGCCATAAGTGAGACGTTTCTTTTCAGAGCTGACATGGACGAACACCGGGGGTGACTAACTAACCAGTACTTTCGCTCAATCATCCAGAGCTCCCTGGTGGTAAGTTCAGTAACTATTCTTTATTTTTTAGTCTTCTTTGCATTAGTGTGACTTTTCATTTTTCCTTCCAATAGACTGCCCAACAAGTCTCGATTATTGCCCAGCACTGTCGTGCTCTGAGGCAAAGTCTCTAGCAATTTGAGAGGCTAAAGGCCAAAACCAAGGTAGCTCTCGCCGCTGCTAGGGAGGACGTGGCTGCTAGGGACACTACACTGTCTTCCTAGGTAGGCCAGATTGAGCAGCTTTTGAAGGATGGTGAGGCTGTGAGGGTTAGCACTGAGAAGCTAAATATAGCCCTTGCCGATGTCGAAAGGAAGATGATTGAGGCGACATCTCGACTATCTTCGATGGAGGAAAAAGTTAAGGAGTCAGAGCAAACTTGCTTGACTCTCTCCTAGGAGTTGGACAGGGTAAGGGCACAGATGGAGGCCAAGAAGAAGATGGAGCAAAAGATCGTTGATGGCTGCACCGATGACATCCTAGTCGCCCTTGAAGAAAAAAAGAGGGAGTTCTTCAAGAAAGGCTGGGAAGAGGCATTTAAGGCAGCTGGGGTTCCCCCCGATTCTCCTTTGTTCCTCATGCATGAGTATGTTCCTTCGGAATCTATGCTCCAAGCCACAACGACAGTAGCAGCTGAAGATGCTGATAATGCAGAAGTGCCCTCCTCGGCCCCAACTGGAGAACCTACAAACTTGGCCCTTGTCATGGAGGCTCCTGATGCAGACCCTTCCTCTGCTCCTCTCATTTCTCAAGACGCCGCCCTTGCTGTCGTGGAGCTACCTCATGACAATGCCGATACCCACTCATCTAGCAACATTGAGGAACTCTTCGGGGATGGAGGGAGTAGCGTCGGCGAGGTTGACAAACCAACTGCTACTCCCTAGGCTAGGACTTTTACTTCCTCTTTTGTAACTTTCCTTTCATTTGTAGTATGCTTCGAGGGACACAAAGCCCTTCTTGGAATGAAAGATAACTTTGTTTTATTTTATATGTTCTTTTCTTTTGTCTGCGCTCTTGTAACTTTCGAAAATTCTGAAAATTCTCAAGTATTGAATCTCAGGGCCAAAAAACAATGAATCTTAGAACACTATTTGTACCATTCGGTTAGAGTAAATTTTTGGTGTCCCTCGGGCCTGAGGATATGTGATAAGCCTTATCAAACTTGACAAAAATAGGTGCCGAGGACAAGTGTCGAGAATGAAGGGTTCCAATGAGTACCCCCATTGAGGATACGTGTCAATCGTGGAGGGCCCCGAGGGGTTTCTACGCCAAGGGTGTCGAGGGATGTTTTACACATCTTCCTTGTTGGTCGATTCAAGGAGATTTCGTTGATCCCTCCCCCCACTATTACCTTGCTGAGACAACTTCGCCCATGTACTTGTGCAAGCAGTCACTAATGCCTTAAGATGCACTAAGTAGATGTCAGTTATTTTTTTAAGATCTCCTTTCTCTTGGCTCCCTGAAGCGTAGTTACCATTGCATCAGGACAGAAATACGTATCATTTGGATAACCTATTTCCAAGTTCCATTTACTTAGCCAAGCATGTATTTGGGGATTGTAGACAAGGTGAACCTTTAACGATTTATGTTTGCTTTGTAAAACGATGCATGGAAAAGTAGTCCCATTCCAAGCAATGTATCCAATGATAGTGTTTTCTGGCAGGGTCATTTTCCATTCAAGAGGCATCCTCCTGTTACTTGTTTGGAGGCTGGAGCTCCTAAGACTCCACCTCTAGGGCCATGCCCCTCAAGAGGCAAGCTCATGTTCTTTTGGAGGTTGGAGTCCCTGAGACTCCACATCCAGGGCCATGCCCCTTAAAAGGCAAGCTCTTGTTCTTTATTTAGAGGCTGGAGTCCTTGAGACTCCACCTCCAAAGCTATGCCCCTTACAAGATGGCACATTTAGCAAAAAGGTGAATCTTTTATTCGTCAAAAGTAGTATTTCTTCAAATTCATTACATTCCAAGGTCGTATTACAACACTTCCTTCCATGTCTTCTAGCTTATATGACCCAAAGCTCCTACTAATGTGACTTTATATGGGCCTTCCCAGTTGGGTCTCATCTTTTCATCTGCTAGATCCCGGGTGTTTGCCACCACTCTTCTGAGTACCAGATCGCCTATTTGGAATTTTTAGGGTTTGACCCTCCTGTTGTAGAGCCTAGACACCCATTCTTGGTACTTAGCCAATCTCAAGGCAGCCACTTCTCTTCTTTCCTCTATGAGGTCTATATCCAAACTAAGTTGAAGATTGTTACTCCTGACGTCAAAGGCTTGTGTTCTTATGGTAGGGAGTCCCACTTCTAATGGGATAATTGCCTCCATCTCGAATGCGAGGGCATAAGACGTCTCTCTTGTTGAGCTTCAAGGGGTTGTCCTGTATGCCCAGATGACGTTTAAGAGTTCACCCACCTACTTCCCCTTGGCCTTTTCTAACCTCTTCTTGATCCCATTGATAATAGTCTTGTTTGAGGACTCTGCCTGTCCATTGGCTTGTGAATAAGTAGGGGTGGAGTAGTAGTTCCGGATTCCCAGATGTTCATAGAAAGGCTTGAAGTGCCCACTGTTGAATTGGGTCCCGTTATTTGACACAATCACACGAGGGATTCCAAACCTTGTCACTATGTTTCTCCACATGAACCTCTTGGTGTTCAGGTCTTGGATATGAGTCAAAGGTTTCGCCTCGACTCACTTTATGGAATAGTTGGTTCCCACTATTAAGAATCTCTTGTCTCCAAGAGCCCTTGGTAGGGGTCCGACCAAGTCGGGTCCCCATTGAGCAAATGACCAAGGACTAGTTAGTGGATGTAAGTCTCTAGCTAGCTGTCGGATGACTGGAGCAAACCTTTGACACTGATCACACTTCTAGACATAGGCCTGTGCATCCCTTTGCATCCGTGACCACCAATATCCTTGGGATATGATACAATGGGCCATGGATCGTCCACCTGAGTGCCCCCCACATGCCCTCATGTACCTTGTACAAGAGTGGTTCGACCTTATCCTCGTGGACACAAAGTAGGTACAGTCTGGAGAATGACTTTCGGTACAACTTCTGATCCTAGGAGGCCCAGAATCTTGGTGCCCTCAACCTTATCTTCTTGGCTTCTTTGGGACATTCAGGGAGTTCTCCAGATGAAGGAACTTGAGTGGTGGATCCATCCAGCTGGGGGACTGCTCCTCATCCTAGATGGACGCCACCCTAGGGACCTTATCTATGCTAGAGCTAGGGAGGTACTCAATGATGATCCTTTGTGTCATGGTGGAGTCTAACACCGAGGCTAGACATGCCAAGGCGTTAGCGTGGGTATTTTTTTCCTGAGAAACTTGCTTGACCTCAACTTTTTTGAGCTTGTGGAGTAAAGTCATAACTTCATGGTTGTAAGCTTTCATCCTAGAGTCCCTTGCCTCGAACTCTCCATTGATTTAGTTGACCACTAGCATGGAATCACAGTGGATGGTCAGCTTTGTAGTTCCTGTTGCATCAACTAATTTGAGCCCAAAAATAAGGGCTTCATACTTTGTTTCATTGTTGGATGCCTTAAAGCCTAGTTGGACAGTTTTCTCCAAGACAACTCCCTCCGGGGATACTAGCAGTACCCCTATTTCAGAACCCTTGTTGTTGGAGGATCCATCCACGTAGAGACTTTATGAGGGTCCTTAGGCAGCCGTAGAGGGATCAAGGAAAGGTGCCTCCGCCTTGGGGAGAGCAGTTCACCATTGGTAAACTCGACGATAAAGTCTGCCAATACTTGTCCTTTTATTGTGGTATGAGGCTTATAATGAATATCATGTTCCCCTATTTCTACTACCCATTTGGCTATTCTTCCTGAGAGGTCCGCCTCCTTAGAATTGCTTTCAAGGGTTGATTCGTTAGGATGGTGATCTGGTATACTTGAAAGTAAGGTCTTAGCTTTCTTGCAGCCGTAATCAGGTCCAACATTAACTTCTCTAGGGGCAAGTATCTAGTTTTTGCGTCCAGTAGGGCCTTGCTTACATAGTATGTTGGCTTCTGTTTCTGTTCGTGTTCATGGACCAGCACACCATTGACCACGAACTCTAACACGACCAAGTACAGGAACAACATCTCCCCCTAGTTGGGATGGACAGGGTTGAAGGGATCCTGAGGTAATCCTTGATCCCCATGAGTGCATCCTTGCATTCCTGATCCCAAGTATCTTTCTCAGATCTCTTGATAGCCCCGAAGAAGGGCTTACACTTGTCTGATGAACGAGAGACTAATCGGTTTAATGCAGCTAGCATCCCTGTGAGTTTCTGGAATTCCCAGAATGTCTGGGGACTTTCGTACATCCATGATGGCTTGTATCTGTTCTAGGTTTGCCTCTACTCTAAGTTGACAAACCAAATATCCAAGAAATTTCCTAGAACCAACTCCAAAGACACTTAGCCACGTTCAGCTTTAGCCCGTACTCTCGGAGGATAGAGAAGGTGTCTTCCAGGTCTATAAGGTGATCATCCTTCGTCCTACTCTTAACTAGCATGTCATCTATATATACTTCCTTGGTGTTCCCTCTCTGTCGCTTGAACATCCGATTCATGAGCCTTTGATATGTGGCTCTTGCATTCTTTAGGCCAAAAGGCATGACTGTGTAGCAATAAACCCCTCTCGGAGTAATAAAGGTAGTCTTCTCCTGATCAGAAAGATGGAGGGAAATCTAATGGTAGCCAGCCCTGGTGTCCAGGAAGGCCATTCGTCGATGCCCCGTCATGGCATCCATTAACTGGTCTACTTTAGGAAAGGGAAAGTCATCCTTGGGACAAGCCTTGTTCAGGTCTGTGAAGTCTATGCAAATGCGCCACTTCCCATCCTTCTTCTTTGCACACACCGTGTTTGACAACCATTCTAGGAACTGAACCTCCCATATGGTGTTGGCCTCCAGGAGTCGCTCTACCTCTTTATTTACTGCCTGGGCGTGATGCGGCGCTGTACGCTGAGGCTTTTGCTTCACCGGCTTGTGAGTGGGGTCAATATGAAGCTTATGATTCATAACGTCAGGGCTTATACCCTTCATTTCTGTAGCATCCCTTACAAATACATCCACATTCCTCCTTAAAAAGCTGGCCATCCCCTCCTGCTCAGTCGGGGACATGGTGGAGCCGGCCATGAAGTACTTTTCTTTATCTCCTTCAACCAAGAGTATCTTTCGAAGATCCTCTACTGAGCGATTCGTTGGATCAATCCACGGCTCATTGACTCCGAGCCGACAGGACTGTAATTGCTATTTGTTCAGAACCTCCTCCGGGGCTCACCCATTTTCTTTAGAGGCGACCCCTGCCTTTACCGCTGAATAGAAATAACTCTTAGTGGATGCCTGGTCTCCGTGGATCTCCATTATTCCTTCAGGCATTGGGAACTCCAACTTCTGATGATAAGTGGAATGCACAACCCCTAGTGTACGCTACCAGGCCCGCCCCATGATAATATTGTAAGGAAAATTGAAATCAATCACCACAAACTCCGTGTTGGTTGTAATAGGCCCAATGGTAACTGGCAGCGTGATTTTGCTCAAGGGCAGGACATACGAGCCGTTAAATCTAACGAGGGCGTACTGACTTTGGTAAGATCCTAAGAACCAAGCCCCATGCATTTCAAGACTTCGAAGTACATTACCTTGGAAGAACTCCTGGAATTCACCAGGACCCTTTTGATGTCAAAGGTCCTGATCTTCAAAGTCAGGATCAAGACATCTTCGTGGGGGAGGACCACGCTTGCCAAGTCGGCATTGGAAAGAGTGATGTCTTCCTTGCTAGTCCAGGGCCTCTTGCCTGGCTGGCCCCATCTCTCTCATCCACCTTCTTTGTGAAAACTACTCTCTTAAGATCGAATCTGAGGGTGTTGGACGTCGGATACTCTAGTGGGCAGACCTGGATAACGTCAATTACATTTTCCTAGACAATGGTTTGGTCGTTGGCACCATGGGCCTTTATTGGTGCTGCTTTCTCGATGTATTTCTTCAAGTGTCCTTCTTGCACCAGTTTCTATAGTAAAAACTTATAGACTCTACAATATTCGGTGTGGTGTCTAAATTCTTGGTGGTATGAACATTTCACCTTCTGGATTCGGGTGGATGGATCACCCTGCATCTTGGGCGCCCATTTGAAGAAGGGTTCTTTCTTGATCTTGTGGTGCAATTTGTAAATGGGCTCGTTGAACATAGTGTGGACCCCTTTGAAGGAACTTCTTGGCGGAGGCA